AAAGATTATACCGGTCGAGTTGTGTGGACCTAGAGGAAAGGTCAAGACAACAGCTCTTCTGGATGAGGGATTGACCATGACACTCATAGAGGAGTGGATGGCTCAGAAGTTAGCGCCTCGCGGACGTAAAGAGGAATTACGTATTGAAGCCGTGGGAGGTAAGCGAATTAACGACGACAGTTCGTATCGCTTAAACGTTAAGATAAAAGGCATTTACTCGAATGACTTAGAAGAGATAAGTGTACAAACAATTAAGTCACTTAACCTTTCTCCTCAGTCAGTAAGCCGAGAATTATTGCAACGGTGTTCTCATTTGACACCGATTAAGGACGAGTTAATGTATGAGAGGTCCAGACCTACCATATTAATTGGCCAGGACAATTGGCATCTCATAGTTACTCGTGAATTGATTTCAGGAGGTAAGAACCTACCTGTATCATCGCTCACCAAACTTGGATGGGTTTTACATGGTCACATATCGGGTGGTATTAAACCAATCAAGATTGTTAACCACATTTCCACCAAGAAGGAGGAAGATATGGATAAGTTAATCAAGGATTATTTTAGTTTGGAATCTCTGGGAGTGTCTGCGCGAAAGCCCGCGAACGACCCAGAAGAACGAGCTTTAAATATTTTGAGCAAAACGTCGTATACCTAATAATATGTACGACACTGCTTTGTTATGTCGCACAGACAATGAGTGCATGCCATCGAATAGAGCGCAGGTTGAAAGTCGCCTGTTTAATATCGAAAAGAAGCTCGACAAAAATAGATTTGAAACAGGTGAAGAAAAATCGCCAAAAGGCGTAAATGCGCTGAGAAAGCAAGAACCGTTAAGTCTACCCGACTACGGACGATTTAGCAGCTTTAAGAAATTCCTTGGGGCAACTACACGCACCTTACAAGCGGTAGAAAAATTCAAGAGTTTAAGAAAGTCGGTTAAAGGACCCGACAGCGCAGCCGAAAAGTCGGTTATGTGTTCCAACAAAGTTTTAGCAAAGTCGGTTAAAGGACCCGATGGCGCGTTGGACATAGCGCTCTTGAAAAAAGCGGAATTGTTAATTTGGAAGTTCGTTCAAGACGAGTGTTTTTATTCAGAAATAAAATGCTTGAAAGCAGGCAAAAGCGTTGAAAGAAGTTCACGCTTAAGTAAATTATCTATGGAAATAGGAGAAGATAACTTACTCCGTTTAAATGGACGTTTACCTTTTAAGTCTAATTTGACCGAGGAAAGTAGAAAACCTGTCGTATTAGACGGTAAACACGAAATCGTTAAAATGATGATTAGAGAAGTTCATCATCATTTTGGACATGCCAATCACCAGACGGTGATGAATGAGGTGAACCAGAAATTTTATGTCTTGAACTTACGTAATGTAGTACGTAGTGTGTCACATCACTGTCAGTGGTGCAGGACATACAGGTCAAAACCGCAGAACGTGCCACAAGGAAATATTCCTCTGGAGAGAATAGCTCATCATGAACCACCTTTTACGTGCTCAGCTGTGGATTATTTCGGACCTATGAGTGTGACTATAGGAAGGCGACACGAAAAACGTTAGGGTGTTTTATTCACGTGTCTGACTACCAGAGCAGTACATCTGGAATCAGCAGCCTCATTGACACCAGCGTCAATGATAATGGCATTGAGGCGATTTATCGCCAGAAGAGGAAAACCAGCCGTTATATACAGCGATAACGGGACGAATTTCAAAGCTGCGAATAAGGAATTATTGAGAGCATGCGAAGAATGCCATGAGGGCATGAAAAATGAGTCGTTTAAGAAATATATTAAATGGAAATTTATACCTCCGGGAGCACCGCACATGGGTGGCGCCTGGGAAAGGTTAGTAAGATCGATTAAAATTGCGTTGACCGCTACGCTCAAAGAAAGGAGCCCACGAGAGGAGGTTCTACATACGCTGCTTTTAGAAGCAGAGCATACGGTAAATTCCAGGCCTCTGGTAACATTCTGTAAATTCCAATCATCCTTCCATCATTCATTTTCTTCTGGGACGCTCATGTGGTGATCGACCACCTGGATTATTTTTAGAGCAACATCTGACGGGTCAACTCAATTGGAAAGCTGCACAGAGGTTAGCCGACCATTTTTGGACAAGATGGTTGAAAGAATACATGCCTACTTTAATACCTCGAACGGGTAATAACGGAAAGTTCGTGGAACCTAAAGAAGGTGATATTGTTTTGATAATAGATCATTCGTTGCCACGAAATACGTGGCCGAAAGGCAAAATTAGTAGAACGCTACCGAGACCAGACGGTCACACCAGAGTGGTTGACGTCATTACTAGCACAGGTATCTTGAGGAGACCTACATCCAGAATAATAGTCCTGGTACCCGCGACGCCTCCCAAATGATGGTGCTAACGCACTGGGGGGAGATTGTTGGCGACGCGCCTATAAAAATATTTCGGTTTATTAAGTCAACAGATTTTATATTGTATTTATTATAGTTACATACTTACTTAATAAAAGTTATTTTCTTAATAATTCTTATATTAACACTCTCAGAAATGAGAGGAGGCCTGTGCCCAGAAGAAATTTTTTTTCTATAGTTACTCGAACACTGCACATTTATACAAAACTAGTTTTTACGGATTTTATCGCGTTTATTAACTTACTTTATATTCCCCACGTTTCGAGCACTTTACAGTACCTGGTTAGACGATGGGCTTAGGGGTTCCTGAGTACGATTCGTTACTAGTTGGACTGTATGTGTGGTTTCCTGATACCCCAAAACAAGATGGCTGACGTAGCACGCGACAGCCTTGGACAATGCACTCGCTCTTCCAAATCTATTGCTTCACCAGCGTCGAGAGGAAAGTCTACTTGAGCCGGTAGGAGAGAAAATGTGACGGGAGAGCAAAAAAAAACAAAAAGGCTCGAGTAAGCAATAGAAAATAAAAGGGAAAACGCACTACCGGTGTCGAGTTCCTGATGCCGCGGACGATGCTTCTGTTCTGGAGATGCGTTGGAAGAGAGGAGGTGCGCGACGATTACACACACTACCTGAGGCGGTTACTTCTGTGGCGCGACTGCCACAGAGATAAGATCGAAACTAGCGGTGGGTTGACAGAGAGCGCTCGAAGGCTGCGGGCGCCTCTTTATTGGGTCAGCCATCTTACCACTTCATCTCGGTGAGGCGTGCGTTTCCATTGGCCGAAAAGGTGGCACCACATTTTAGATCTCCCTCCACCTTCAGTGCATGTGGATTGAATGGATACGGGATATTGTATGGAAGGAATGGATACGGGAAGAACGGACACTGACGAGCTACACCCCCGAACAAAATTATAAGAATACCTGATTCTTTTCCGCGCAACAAGTACCCATGGTCAGGGAGGGAAGGAGTGAGTCTGTTAAGTACTCGAAACGTCGGGAATGTAAAATAAGTTATTTCCTTTTAATTTTTTTAAATGTTCCTTCCTAGATAGACTGGACTCGTCTTTTATAAAAATAAATATTTCTTTACTTTTTTTACTTTAAGTTTAAGTATTACGTTTAGGGTGCTCGCTAACACTGCTTACAGTTTGCCAAAAATAACGTTTGATTAATTTAGACAAAAATACACTAAGAACCAGAAAGAACCGGGAATCCCGCTTACGATCCTCTTTTAAAATCGTGTGTAAGAAATAGGGACTCGGGTGCAGTTCTGCAAACCGGCACCATTAAAACACCTCATCATCATCATCATTACAGTCCTTTACAAGTCTACTGCTGGACATTAACTTCCCCCAAGGAATGCCATAAAACACAGTCCTCATGAACCTGCATCCATCGACTTCCTGCATGTCTTACCAGGTCGACACTCCTAGTGGGAGGTTGCCCTACACTACGCCTACCGGTACGAGGCTGGCACTCGAGAACCTTTTTTCCCTATCGATCGTCGGTTCTTCGAGCTATATGGCCGGCCCACTGACACTTCAGCATACTAATCCGTTGGGCTTTGTCGGTCACTCTGGTTCTACTGCGGATATCCTCATTTCTAAGTATCACGCAGAGAAACCCCAAGCATAGCCCTCTCCATAGCTCGCTGAGTGACCTTGAGCGTCCTCAGCAGTGAAGGACCACGTCTCAGATTCATAAGTGATCACCGGGAACACGCTCAGGTTGTACAATTTCGTTTTCAGGTTTTGAGGTGTGGCCGTGGAAGGAAAAGTGTAGATCTCCCGCCGGGCAAGGTGTTATGCCCGGGGAGCGGCCAAAGCTCCGTGTGATAGTTCGGAGATGTTCTATATATGCTGTTTATGATTCGGAATGTTGATAGCGTGATTTAGGCTTCGGTATGTTTCGCTTGCGGCGCGACGACAGCGCCGCCACATCACCCCCCTGCTCAGACCAGAGGTCGATAGTGCAGTCCGATTGCCGGTGCGTCCTTAATGCCGGTGGGGAATGCATGCTGTGTGCGTAAGGGCAAGTGACACCGGTGCGAATAATATGCCGATGTGTAATGCATGCCGTACTACGCACTGGCAAGTGATGCTGGTGAGAACGATGTGCCGGAGCAAGGGCCAGAAGTCTGCCTTATAAATCTGCGGTGAGTCGAGACGAAGACAAGTTGGACTGGCTTGCAGGAACTGAAGACTGCAGAAGACGATTCTCAGTAGTGACTGGTAGGGGTTCTTGAGGATATTGACGAAGGCTTGAAGTTGTAGTTTCCGAAGTTGTTGGTTGCGTGTTCAGATCACGTCGGGGTCACCACTTTGGCCGTGAAGGAAAAGGGGAGATCTCCCGCCGGGCAAGGGTTTTGCCCGGGGAGCGGCCAACACTCCGTGTGATAGTTCGGAGATGTCCTATATATGCTGTTTATGATTCGGAATGTTGATAGCGTGATTTAGGCTTCGGTATGTTTCACTTGCGGCGCGACGACAGCACCGCCACAGAGGTCTATCTTACGAGAAGATGTGTCATAATTTCCCGAACGCTGCCCAGCAGAGTAGAATCCGTCAAAAAGCCTCGTTACTGGTAAATTTACTTACAGTCGGTCTCTTCTTCTCCTCGTTAATCAATTTGTCTGCATAATCGCATAAATAATCAAGCTTGCAGGTGCCAGGACTGCCAAATAACTCTTCGACTTCGCATGGATCACCTATAATTGAAATAATTACAATTCAAAATGGCTGACACTTTGAGACCCCCGTTTAAAATCAACGGGTTCAATCTAAATCACATTCTACGATCGTGATTTCCTTTAAGATTTTTAGATTTCCTTTATTATTAATAATAATAATAATAAGATAAGCAAACAAAATATCTGGACCTAGCTCACGAGGTGACCGACATGTGGGGTGGTCTGCCGACCGAAATTATTCCTGTAGTCGTCTCTGCAAACGGGCTAATCCCAGTCAGCCTCTCGGGTCATCTGAGGCGGCTGGGACTACGTGACGGACCGCTCCAGGCTCAAATGCAGAAGGCGGTGCTCCTCGATACCGCCCGCATCGTCCGCCGGTTTCATTCCCTTTCCCCCTAACCCTCGGCTGTTTGGTCTCCCCTGCCGAGGGCCTCCATCTGGTTGGGCTTTTATTTATATTTATTTTATGTTATTGATATTTATGTATTTTTATCTTTTCATTTTCATTTATAATTATATATTTATAGAACCCATCCAGATGAGAAAACTATATTTATACCCCCCATAATAATAATAATAATAATAATAATAATAAAAATGACAAAGTATGTTGACCTGGCTATCGAAATAAAAAGACAATGGCAAGTAGACTCCGTAAAAATCATTCCTATCATCATATCTACAACTGGTGTAGTTCCAAAGACCCTTCAAACCAGCCTCAACATGCTTCAAATGCCTAAATCCACTCTTACACTTATACAAAAAGCAGTCCTTCTTAACACCTGTCGTCTCACACGTAAATTTCTTAACTCATAACCGTCATCATTGTAATTCTTTCTTTTTTTCCAGCGTGCACACTTGGTCAAGGCCCGTGTGTCCGTTTTCTACCCCTCAATACAGAGGAAGAAATAAAAACAAAGAAAAAATAATAATAATAATAATTTCTTTATTTGCTTAGAAACACAGTATTACAAGTTGGTACAAGTTTGATAGAGCGCATATGTTTTTAAAATAGCATGCAAATAATAATGCATTGAATTTAAGAATGTTATAATGAAATTACATGTCAATCCATACTATTAATATAGTAATTATTACTAAATATGTCAACGAAATAAAAATTGAATAAAATAAAATTTTGTAACTATTTCAATTTATGTAAAGTTTTTGGTAGAGAGAAACGAATCTATGCTGTAAAAATTATTCTGACTTAGCCATTTGTACAACCTGTGTTTAAACATATTGATATTGAGCATTTTAATATGTTTCGGAATCTTGTTATATATTCTGACACACATACAGAGGCAACTTTTTGCATACTTATCCGACCTTGGATTGTCATTGTATATCATTCCATGAGGATCTCTCAATCTATAATTATTCACTTTATTAAATAATTCTATATTTTGTGTACAAAGACCGCAACTTCATAAACGTAAAGTGAAGGTAGTGGCAATAATCCTAGACTTTTATACAGTGGTTTACAGGACACGTCGGGTAAAACTCCACATATGGCCCTGATGCATTTTTTTGGGCGATAAATGCTCTGTTTTTGTCCGTACTGTTGCCCCATAGCAGGACCCCGTAACGCAATATCGATTCTATGTAGGCGCGATAGGACATAATAACGGTCTTTTGTCGGTTACATTTCTTATACGTTTAAGAGCATATACGAACTGGTTAATTCTGTTACACAAATGGTCTATAATATGTGTTTTCCAGTTCAAGTCCTCGTCAAAAGTTATACCTAAGAATTTCAATTGTTTTACTTTATTTATCTTTGTCACATTTAGATTAAAATTGTATTGTTTATGTTTTGATTTATTGAATTGTATATAATATGATTTGGCAAGATTAATTATTTGCTTTAAGCCATTCGATTATTATGTCAATAGTATTATTAATCTCAAATTCATGATTTTGTAAAGAGTCATTGTTTTAAGATTTATTAGAAGTAACAATTATTGATATATCGTCGGCATATAAAGTACATTGGTATTTTGTTACTTCTGTTATATCATTAATGTAAAGTATAAATAGAATTGGTCCTAATACACTTCCTTTTAGGACGCCAGAGCTGCATTTTCTATATTCAGACGAAACTGAACTCATTTCACTATTAATTATTTTATTGATTACAACTTTTTGTTGACGCCCACTTAGATAAGACGTTATCCATGATAATGGGGGTCCTCTGATTCCGAGAGATTCCAGTTTGCTCAGAAGAGTTTTGTGCACAACGAAATCGAATGCCTTTGATAAGTCAATAAAGAGTACAGTAGTTAGATTATTTTTATTTAGGTTGGACAATATTTTATTTTTTAAGTTAAAGATTGCTAAAGTCGTAGATTTTTCTTATTTATAATATTATATTTAGAGCAAAAACTCATGTCTTTTTAACATGCACTTTTCAAATAATTTTGTTAGAATTGGTATTAATGTTATAGGGCGATAGTTTGCTGGATTTTTATCCCCCTTTTTGTACAGTGGTATGACTAATGATAGCTTTATATTATCTGGAAATATACGTTCAGAAAAGGACAAGTTTATGAGATGTGTAAGGATACCGACTACTTCGATAACACACGTTTTTAATATATTAGTGGATATACCGTCGTATCTTTCCGCTTTAGTGTTATTTAGACTGATTATTACCTATTTTACTTCTTTCTTTGTCATAGGTTGTAAGTACATTGAGTTATTAGTGTTGTGTCCTTATGCTTAATTTTTACAGCGTTAATTGAAATAGTGTCAGTCATGTTAATGTAGTAATCGTTAAAGGCAGTAGCTATATCGACAGGATTTGTTACTGTTTCATTCTTTAAATTTATCACTGACCATGTTGCTTTACATTTGTTTTTACTTCTATTTATAAATTTAATATTTGTTGTTCTTGGTGAGTTATTAATGCATCTTTTTAACAATTTAGAGTAGGCCATGTACATTTCTTTATTTACTGATGTCTTATTTTTATAATATTTAAAGCGTAGATATCTTTTTGTTTTGCAACTAATTTTAGACCACGGCTTATCCATTTTTGTTTTTTAAAATTAATATTGTTAACTTTAACTTTTAAGATCGGAAAACATAAATTATAAAATAAACACAACATATTGTGGAAATATGTAAATGTTCGCGTCAAGCTTAAATAATTAACATAAATGAGTATAGTTTGTGCCAAATCGATTTAATAATGATTGATATATATTTATTAACTATTATTAAAAAGTTACGTAAAAGATCGCTGTAGAAGAAAAATCATCTATTGTTATAAAGTACTTTATTTATTTAACAAGAAAAAGCATTAATTTATAACACACATATAAAGATTCGAGTGATAACGACACCGAATAAGTACGTACTTATTCAAAAGATAAAACTTTATTTTCAATAGTATATAAGAACTTTATTTTTATTCGGTTCATGCGAACCGGCCCAAAAAAAGTGACGCATCTCTGGCTGCCATTGTCACGTTTCTTTTAGAACGAACTGACGTAACGCGCACTTCATTTATTTTAAAGGGATGAATTTGCAAAAGCTCAATATGGTGATTATATTGCTTCAAATATTTTTTTTAATATGAATTGCTGCGTTACTTACCATAAATTGTAATATAAAATATCACATATTTTTCGCGATGTACCGTAAGATTTTACGATATTTATAGTTTATAGGAACCACAGACAGTATTATTTAAGAAACAAAAAACAAAACATATCTGCTCACCCAGAAGTGTGAATAATATCAATATTTAAAAATTGTTATCACATCTATCTTTTGTAAGTTACGCCTTTTGACACTCGGCTCATATCTGAGGTCTTCGTCCGTTTTTCTCAATCGATTTGGCACGAACTATAGGATAATAGGTCTATGTATTAAATTGAAAACCTTAAAAACCCTCGAAACAAAGGTCTGATGATCTTCAAACGGCTGAAAATATTTACTTGAATCATAATTCATAACTAAGAACACTCTTGATCAAGTAACCTTTCAAACAAAAAAAAATTGAATCGAGATCGCTTAATGCGTTTGGGAGCTATGATGCCACAAACACAGATACACAGACATACAAACACACAGAAAAACAGATAAACACGTTATATATATATATATATATATTTTTTTATATATATATATAATACCTCTTTCATCAGGGGTTCAAAATAAGTAAATTAAACGCGATGCAACTCGCACAAAAATAGTTTTATTCAATGCGTAGTGATCACGTAAATATGATTTCTTATCTTGATGTTTTAAACCTCCTCCTGTTTTAAAGTTGATTAATAACAAGTGGTAAAATTAAAAATTTTGTACAACCGACTTCATCGATATAAAGAAAATGAGAACATCATCAATTTAGTCGAAGTCAATTAAATACGCATTATTAACGATAACTCAAAAACTACAGGTCAAAATTTGATTAAATTTATTTGGGACCACATGGGAAGCCGGGGACCCCGCTATTCCTGGCTACGGTGGTAAACATGGTAACGGTGGGGCAGAGGGTGATATGAATCTCCGGTGGAGGTTCGGTTGCCACCTACGACGACTCGACCTGGCAACATATAACGCTCGCACCCTGAGGACTAACGAGAAGATACTGGAGCTGGAAGAAGAGGAAGACAAGTTCCGCCGGCATATCATAAGATTATCCGACGTCCAAAGAGAAAGGGAGGACACGGTAACCCCCAAGTCCGGCAACTTATTCTATTCGCTGAAGGTCATAAAGGTTTACGCACCAACCTCAGCACATCCCTTTGAGTAAGTGGAGGAAATGTATGAGGATATCTGTAGAGCCATGCATTCCTTCAAAACCCACTATACGGTGTTGATTGGAGACTTTAACGCAAAACTAGGCACAAGAGAAAGCGATGAGCTGAAGTTAGGGAAATTTGGAATAGGGCAACGGAACCCAAGGGGCCGGCAGCTGGCCGACTTCATGGAGAAAGAAAGACTCTTTATGATAAACTCTTTCTTCCAGAAGCGGCCCCACAGGAAGTGGACCTGGTCGAGCCCCA